CCTATCCATATGTTTTCCCCATTTTTTTCTTTTGGGTTACTTATCTTGATTTATAGGAGTTCTTTATGTTTTATACTGATTAAGCATTGTCAAATATTCTAGCGTTTTCTCCCTGTCGTTTGCATTTAGTTTTATTTAGTATGACATATTCTGTAGTGTAAAAACTTTTAATTGTGGAGAAATCTGGTGCATCAGTGTTTTCCTTTAGTATTTCTGGGATTCTCGTGATGCTTTAAAAGGCCCTCCTATCCCCAGTTTGTAAAAATGTTCTTATATGCTCTATTAATTTTATCCTTTCAATTTACATTTCGATCTTCAGAATACTTGGAACTTTATTTTTATGTATCACACAAAATAGGAGTATAACTTTATTTTCTTTTAAATGAATAGTCAGTTGTCCTGAAATCCTTTTCCCTGCTGATTTAAAATATCTTCCTTATTTTTTAAAATTCCCATGCTTTTCAGCATCTGCTTCTGGACTTTCTGATTTTCTTTACTGGTTTAATCAGAGGTCAGAGAAGGCTTTCTCAGGGAGTGCAATGAGAGGTGAGGTGGTATCTAAACTGGGCTAAGAATGTGTGAGGTAAGGGCTTAGAGTGAGGAGGGAAGAGAGCTTTCCAGGCAGAGAGAAAAGCATGTGGGAAGGTCCTGTGGCAGCTTGAAGAAATGAAATAAGGCTGGCTTGTCAGGGGGAAGTCCTGAAGGGCAAGGGGTTCCTGTTCTCCCACAGGATAAATAGGAAGCTCTTAAACACTGGGATAATTGACTCTGCATTCCTCTTATCCCTGTCTCCACCCTACCCCTTCTCTTGGTGTTTGTCGGTCAGCTGCAGGAGCAGTGTCTGGCTTCCCTCTTTTGCTCATACACTCGTGGCATCCCCTTCCTGTCTGCATCCCCCAGCCTGCCCTCACCCCATACCTTTCTAAGGAGCTGGTGCTCCGCCCCACTCCCCTGGGCCAGTGTTTCTGCCAAGTGATCCACAGTTGTTTGTAGCTATCTGTGTCCCTTCTTGGGCTGGATGATTTTCTTGTCAGGGATCTTACTCATCTTTGTATTTGCACAGTCTAGCATAGAACCCAGTGCAATTGCAATTTACTCAATAATATTTGTTGACTAAATGCATGAACAAGATTAAAAAAAGATCACTGCCCTTCTAAAAATGTCAGCTTTTTCTTTTTTTTCTTTTTGTGCCACATAATACACACTGCAGTTACAGCTAAGAAATAATATCTGGGGTGCCTGGGTGTCTCAGTGGGTTAAGCCGCCACCTTCGGCTCAGGTTATGATCTCAGGGTTCTGGAATCGAGTCCCGTATTGGGCTCTCTGCTCAGCGGGGAGCCTGTTTCCCTCTCTCTGTCTGCCTCTCTGCCTACTTGTGATCTCTCTCTCTGTCAAATAAATTAAATCTTTAAAAAAAAAAAAAAAGGAAAGAATATCTGTTAGCTTTTCTCTTTGCAAAGGAGGGATTGTCCCCACACTACTTCTGTTCGCACGTGGGAGATTTTCACTTGTGGTTTTGGTGTCTGGAGTTTCTTGGGGAGACTGTGACAGATTCCTAGGCAAACTCTGGTCTCCAGTAGAGGAGACTCTGGCATCCCCCTCCTACTGTGTGTGGCAGTATTTTATCATGAAGCCTTCGGGTGAGGGTCCCCTTACAGGACCACAGCTGGTGGAGAGGAGGTGGGGGAAGAGCTTTCTGAAAGAGGAGCCACCATCTGAGCGAGGCACAGGACGTGAATAAGTGAACCACTGTCAAGGGCGTTAGAGAAACATTTTGCACATCATCTTTGGTAATATATTCAGAAAGTCGTGGTTAAACAACCGCCTCTTTCTTTCCTCTAAAGTCATTGCGTGTAGAACTGACTTGGTGTCGGCTGCTGACATTTTAGGTTTTTATTTGTGAAGTGATGCAGCTTAATGAAAATTCAACACGTAAGTTTGACATTCCCACTCAATTACCATCTGAAATACATGAGAACAGCACTGTATCTCCACTCCATGTATAGCCCTGATGGTTTCCTGAGACAGTCACTGTGGGTTATTTTTGTTTCTTTCAAGTTAAAGCCAAAGTCAGGACCCTTCCAGAACGAGTCTCAGGGCAAGGTATTTGTAGACAGAGGTGAATGGCAGCGTGCAGCAGAGAAAATGCTCTCAAGATGATCCCAGCTGCTGTGTTCCATACGGAGAGTCTTTGTGTGCCTGGGCCTGAAGATGTGGGAGATACCCTCAATGTGCAGTTTATGCCATCTTCCTATTTTTCAGGGCTCCACATGGTAGTAGAACATGCAGAAAGCTTTATTTTCTACTAATCAAAGGTCAGGCTTAGACTGAGAGGAAATCTGTAGTCTTGGGATTAGCCTTTTAAAAAAAAAGATACAGATATACGTCACCTTTGAGGTTGGTATCTTAGCTTTTCTGACACTGTAGTCTTTGGAAGTGTGTGTGTGTGTGTGTGTGTGTGTGTGTGTGTGTGTGTGTGTGTGTTGGCTACCAAAGACCTGCTTTGTGACCCTTAACAATTAGAATACAGTTATCACTGAACTAGTTATTATGTAGGTATGAGAATAAAGCTGTTTATAGTGCCATCGGATGCCTGCCTGCCTTCTCAGTTTAGTGTTCTTGTTTGCTTTTCTTCTCCTACCGCCCAGGTTCCAATTATTTTGGAGGTAATTCCTCCATAAAAGGAGTGGCCATGGGTGGTTAGGAGGTAACAATTTGGCCCTCACCATTCCCCATACAAATCACCTCACCTTGCCCTCTTCCATGCTTTCTCTGTTATATTTTCCAACAAAAGAAGGAAGGTAAATTTGAGAAACTACTATTGAGTATAGTCTGTAAATCTCTGGAACCAAATACCTTGCATATCCCTAATAAGCTTTCAGTCATCTAGAGCTTTTTTCCTATGCCTGCTGTCGTCCACTTCTGTGAAACATGTAAATTTTAAGAAAGTCAGTGGATAATTTCCCTTGCCTCGGATCATTTCCATATTTGGATAGATCTGCAGCTGAACTATCAAAATCCAAGTTCAGGGAACAAAGAGGGTAGAAGGCTTGCCCCAGCCCAATCTAAATGAGAGGTTTCATAGACTGGGTGCTTAGGTTTGTCTGTTAAGACACAGTCACAAGAGGGGCGCCTGGGTGGCTCAGTGGGTTAAGGTCTCTGCCTTCGGCTCAGGTCATGATCCCAGGGTCCTGGGATCGAGCCCCGCATCGGGCTCTCTGCTCAGCAGAGAGTCTGCTTCCTCCTATCTCTCTCTGCCTGCTTCTCTGCCTACTTGTGATCTCTGTCAAATAAATAAATAAAATCTTTAAAAAAAAAAAAAAAAAAAAGACACAGTCACAAGAAACTGAAAATTCACTAGATTTTCCAAACCAGTGTTTTCTATTCTTGGGGAAAATACACTGGCTGAATTGTTAGAAAAGGGTTACTCAGGGACACCAGGAACCACTCTCCACAGTTGTTCTTTCAGAAAGCAAAGTAATGGGACAGCATAAACGAGAGGCATCCTGCCAGATCCAGCATGGCTAGCAAGGAGGAGGAACTATAGGCCCTCAGAAGGCACCTTGCTGCTCTGCCTAGCTTTCTTAAGAATGTTCCTTGGACCAGAAGATGCTGGGAAAAACAAGGCCCTCTGTTGCCTCCTTCCATAGTCCCTTGAGACCATAGTCACTTAGGTGCTCACAAATTTAAAGAAGGGTGGGGAAGGGAACATGAACATGTTGCTTGTTGCTTTTGGGAAATACCAGACTTTTAAAAAAATGAAAAGTCACTGCCAGAAGGGGAAGAAACAAGAAAACAATACAGGTCAATAATAGATGCTTAAAAGGGAAACTAATGTTAACTTACCTCATCTCTTAGGAGAGGTTCCTCCAGTTGGCTTAGGGAACTGGAGTGCTTTTATGGAGAACTACCTGCCTGCCTGCTCCTCAGAACTCTCAGGGACTTGATCTGGACCTTCCTTTCTCTATGGGACAGTATAGGGAGCTAGTAGGATTTCAGAAAGCCTCAGACCCAAGACCTGGAAGCCAAACATTGTATCATGTTTCCCGGGGGTCTTCTGACATGTGGGTGCACAGGCAAACTAAGAGTCAGTCCCAACTAAAGAGTTTCTCCTGATTCAGAACTTCATTGCCAGGGCAACACTAGATCCTTTCCAGGCCATAGAAGGAAATAAGAATTGCACTTACCAACGTGCATTCTCCATTATGTGAGGCTTCTTTTCAACTTGATGGGTCTATAATTTGCAAGGCTAAAACAAATTGATAGTAATTCCTACCCAGCCTCTGAATGTTCACATTGTTAGCTTGTAGCTTTTAAGTACTATAAACAAGTCATTGTAAATTCTCAAAATTAATGATATGTTAAATTTTAGTTAACTGAGGTCATACAAGGATAACTCCAACCTCAAATACGAGAAACCCAGGTAAACAATTATAATTTAATTAACTTACTGCAGATTTTATGTTTATCCTAAAATACCTTATATTCTGAGATGCATTAAATTCCCAAGTGAACTTATATCCAGCAGAGCCATGCTCACAGGCAGGTTAGAAAACCAGATGCTACATTTACAGCATTCTTTAACAGCACAAGATTTTCCAGATGGTTTATTTTTTCTATTTTTCACAAAGCCGTGGAATTACATAGTATAGTTTTGGGATTAAGGATATAGCCTTTTGAACTTGAGTTCATCAGCTAGCTCTACTCCTTCCAAACTGGTGACCTGGGGAAGGTGGTTTGATCTAACACCGCCTTAGTTTTTTCATCCTGAGAAGGGGAGCCAGGATTCGTGCCTGCCTCATTGGAGTTGTTGTGAAGATGAAATGAGTTAGTATGTGTCACTGTCTGGTGCACGGTAAAGGTCCATCGTCATTATCATTTGTAGTAGTAGAAGCAGCAGCAGTGGTCGTAGCAAGAGTTGTTTTTAGTAATGTGAGAGTTCATAGACGCTTTGGTGGGACCTGTCTGTCCTTGGTTGAATTCTCCACTCTTCCTTCCAGCAGGAAAATGGCAGATGCACGACAGCGGCCTCCTGAACATCACCAAGGTGTCTTTTTCAGACCGAGGTAAATACACATGTGTTGCTTCTAACGTCCATGGCACTGTGAACAACACGGTGACCTTGAGAGTCATCTTTACCTCTGGAGACATGGGCGTCTACTACATGGTTGTCTGCCTCGTGGCCTTCACTGTCGTCATGATCCTCAACATCACCCGCCTCTGCATGATGAGCAGCCACCTGAAGAAGACCGAGAAAGCTATCAACGAGTTCTTTAGGACAGAAGGCGCCGAGAAGCTGCAGAAGGCATTTGAGATTGCCAAGCGGATCCCCATCATCACCTCAGCCAAAACTCTAGAGCTTGCCAAAGTCACCCAGTTCAAAACCATGGAGTTTGCCCGCTACATTGAAGAGCTTGCCAGGAGTGTGCCTCTGCCTCCCCTCATTATGAACTGTAGGACTATCATGGAGGAAATCATGGAAGTGGTTGGGCTGGAGGAGCAGGGGCAGAATTTTGTGCGGCATACTCCAGAAGGCCAGGAGGCCTCCGACAGGGATGAGGTTTACACGATCCCCAACTCCCTGAAGAGAAGTGACTCGCCCACCGCGGACTCGGACGCCTCGTCGCTGCATGAGCAGCCCCAGCAAATTGCCATCAAGGTGTCTGTGCACCCGCAGTCTAAAAAAGATCCCGTGGGTGACCCAGACGGTGTACAGTTTGAAGTCAAAGATGAAGAGGAGACAGAACCGTCTGCTGAACATTCCCCAGAAACTGCAGAGCCTTCTACGGATATAACATCCACGGAGCTAACATCTGAAGAACCAACGCCTGTTGAGGTAGTAGATCGAGTCCTGCCACCAGCTCACCTGGAAACTGCAGAGCCAGCGGTGGCACATGACAAAAACACCTGCATTATTTATGAAAGCCATGTCTAATATCAACTACGAAAAGCTATGCATATCAAGAAAATCAGGGGCTGCTCCTTGTAGTGCAGATGTAGTACGCACTTGCCGCTAAGCCTTACCAGGAGACTCTCATCCCTTGGGTAGGAGTGATGCCATTTTCAAAGGGGAAACTCCTGAGTGCAGGTATTATGTGACTGGAATTTCCCCAATAGAAAAGGATGCGAGAAACATCAGGGTGCAGAATCGATAATACTGGACGGAAGGCGTCTGTCCACGTGATACGAATTTTAGAGGCTCTTCTCTGCCAAATACCTTAATGGGTGATTCCCTTTTGGCAAAGAGAATATTACTATAAGATATTCTGAGCTCAAGAGCCCTGTCCAATGCACACTGCATTGCTTTTCCTTTAAAAAAAAAAATTATAGGTCTGCTACAATAGCAAATGCACGTACATGGGTTTGTTGCACTTTCTTCTCAGTTTTTATTCCTATCATTGTTCCTTTATAATGGAGTAGTCGTTATAGAAATACTAATTGCTCTTTCCGGTTTAGTCCTCTTGGCCACTTTGTCCTTATTTTCCCCTCGAACACGTACCTCACAGACTTTGGTATCAGTCACTCTAGTAGCAGGGCTGATACCTATAAGTCAAGTTGTAATGTTCCATAGTTACTAGGCTCATTATTTTTGTCACTTCCCAAGCCCGCTTTCATACATCACCTTTTTTTGGTTTCCAGTGAAGCTGCTATTGTGAAACTGAGAAAACCTTTGTCCAGGAATAGCACTTTAATAGCCAAATAAAAACGTGTTTACCTGTCCAGTTCTGAGAGCCTTTTGGTGAGCTCAACTGAAGTATGGAGGGAGATGGTAAAAGGTTGAATATACCCATATTACCCATGAAAACTGCTCTTTTTATGGTTACATAACATCATCCTACAAACAAAAACTGATTCTTTATTTGGAAAATGTATTGCTTCCAAGGACAGAGGCATTTGATGAATCCCTGCAGGTTGCAGAGTTTTGGCTTCCCCGGAGGGCTTGCAGGGACATATGCCTTTGGGTGACTCAAACACTGGATCTGGGGCAGCAAAAGAAAGATCTGTGAGGCCGTGTAACCAGGTCCACTTTTGTGAACCACAGAGCTAACTCATTAGTCTTGAAGGGGAGAGTGAAAGGTTAGAAAAATGGTGTAGCTGTGTCATCAAATTTCATGCCAGATTGTGGAATTATTTTTTAGTCTCACAAGAAAGCAGTTATACGTGAGACTGAATGATGATGGAAAGAAGAAAAAGTCGGTCTATGTAGAGGCCAACACCTTACCTGACCGTGCCAATAACCAACTGCCTGACATTGGGCAGGTCTGGGTCTCAGTTTCCTTTTGTCAGAGGAGAGAGACTAGATGTACTCTGAGCACCATCTAAATGGTCTCACTCTCTCACAGAACCAAATCAATATCATCATGCTTTTCTCTTTCCAGGTACTTAACAGATTTTTACTTTCTACTCTGGGGTTCCCCTCACATTGTTTATGCTGCATGACTTACTCAAAGAGGATCAATTTCAAATAATCATAGCATTTTAAGCAAGTTGTGGCTGTTCTCTCCCAAACCATCATTAGGATCACTTCCATAGTTGAAATTTAATCGTGGTGAGAATGAGTGGTATTTCATTTTCACTTAGAACCTTAAAGTTGTAAGGGTCATGGCCACATCAAGTGATGGGGTCATGACACTGGAGGTTACACAGGCCACGCTGGTACTGAGAGCAGACCCAGATGTTTAGTCCTCACTCTGTCACTATCTGGATGAGTGACCTTGGACAATTCCCTTCCCCTCTCTAGGGTTTACTCTTTCTCTGCTGCAGAATATGGGGGTTGTGCTTGATGAGTCACAAGATCCCTTCTAGCTCAGACATTTACTGCTTTCTAGAAAGTTTGTAATATGCCAAGATGGAATGGCCCCCACTGCAAGAGACAAACAACATTGGGAGCAAAACACAGAGACAGGAGATTGGTTGCTTTTGTGGTCCTGATTTTACAACAAATGTGTCTGGCTCTGGAGCCAGAGGACGGTGGGTTTGGCTTTAGGGGTGGCTTCTTCTTCATAGATAACTCATGTGGAAGGCAATCTGACAAGACCTGGAGTTTGGTCAGACATCACTTGGCCAGGAAAGAACTGCTGGCGTCCAGTTAGAAGTGTCTTGGGTGATCATGGAAAGCAACTAGTAGTCCAGCAGTCAGGAGAAACCATGACTCCCAATGGGCTCCCTGGGCTAGGGTTTTATGTATTCATGTTGCAAACCAGCTTTATCTCCAACTCTCAGAATATAAACATTATCCACTTGTCATGGATGTCAGCAGATTCTTAGTATGGATCTAGGTGTCCAAAACAAGAACAGAGATTTAAGCTCACTTTGTGATATTATGTGAACTTTTCCCCATTCTGTTCAGTTCTCATTCCGTTTAAACCCATGTGCAGATTTCCACATGGAAATTACAGAAGGCATCAGTACTATCTAGACATTGATTAGGAATTAAAAATGTAAAATCAGCAGATTTTTTTATGAAGCAGGAGCAGAAATGTGTGACCAAAGAATGTTCCAGATTGGTTTTAGCTTCTAAAGACTGGGGAGATGATTATACAGATTTTCCAAACTTTTCCCTTCTGAGGCATCAAGAAGCTCTTGACACAATAATGGCCAACCTAAAAGGAGGTTGGTTTACAATGGAGATTTCTTCTTCCTGAAATTCTGCACTCTTCCTATCCATCTTACAGCTTCTTTATGAAATGAGAAAGGCTCTCTTCTAGAATATAAAATGCAGAAAGACCTCGTGACTTTCAGCTGATTTTTCAAAGATAAACTGTTCAGCTTCATAGAAATTCATAGAAGTATGGCTATAGGTGTGTGTGCTTGTGTGCACGCATGCGCATCAGGCTCATTTGGGCAGTTTTAAAACCTTAACACTAAATCCCAAGCCATGTCCTTTGGGTCTTATGTAGTCATTCTCAATATCACACAGTTTCTGGTTTCTGAGTCATAACTCTAACAACTTTTTTCTTGAAATTCTGAAAATGATTCAGATACATGTGCATATTTAATTCACTTAGATGACCTGTAAACTTGGACGGTATTTATTCTAAATGGGAAAAAAAAAACAATTTTATACTGAAAAATCTATGTAATTTATAATGGTTTTGTTTTATATATTATATTTTCATATATTTAGGGCACATCTACTGTTCTCATCTTTTTGTATATCATACTCGGCAAAAAGAAATACTAATACTTGACTAAAATCTCTAGGAACCAAATGTGACATATAACGTATAGAAATTGCTCTAAAAATATCTGAATGTTCTCACTCATCCCAACCATTATTGTGCCATTACATCCGGAATGATTTGTCTCAGATGCTTGTGAACATTCCTTTTTTTTTCAAAAGTAAGGTTAAAAGGCCTGACATCCCACAAGGGATTCTGGAATCTCCGTCCTTCCCTTACCTTTTGTATTGTTTGCTTCATTTTTAACTGTAGAAGTCTGTGTTGTTTACGTTTCCCTTTGAAGGGCAAAGGTGAGATAAGAAAGCAATTTGACAAAAAAACTGAATTGAACTACGGCTATGTAAATTATTTAATGGACTGATGACATGTTTGAAGTCTAATGCTTAGATTGTTATTTGTCGGTGATCTAGGATCTGCTCAGCTCTTTAGCACATGAAGAAAATGTAAGGCACAAAGAGTATTTGCATGTTGTGAACAGGCACCCTCTCAGTGTAGTGCAGCCAACACAAATCAGCCTAACTATAGAAACACCCATCCCAGCCACTGAAGACGCGGTTTTAGAAAGGCAAATCGACACCTTTTATTCGCAGATTGAAATACAGTGTTGTATCTGTGCTAAAACTCTTTAATGGCGGCCCCTATGGTTCTGTTCACAGGGGATTTCCTCTCAGTGTTTCATTTGGGAAGAAAATGGGACATTTAACTTATCTTTCAGATACTCTGTTTGATAATCAGCTCAGTCACTCAGTGACTATTCTGCACCTATCTTCACAGATCCTTTTGGCATTCCCTTAAGATTGTAATCCCTGTTTCTAGTCTTCCTTTTTAAACTAATTTACTGGTACTCTTTCAGCCTACCAAATTTCATTGTATATTCACACACATATTTTGAGCACCTGATACCTTCAAGAAACTAGACATTTTGACATTCACCTATTCAGTTAAAAATCCCTCAGTAGATAACAAAGTTCATTTTCCTAATGACTTCTTTTTAGGGTTTCTACAGTGATTAGCCAGGTTTGGATTCAGTAAATCAGTGGTGGGGGGAAAAAATCAAAAGAAAATTGCTTAGGATGTTTTCCAAAGGACTGAGTGTGTGTCTGTTACACAAGAATCATCTGAGGGGGATAATGATCTTTGAGATTTTTTAGAGATACCAATTTTAAGGGGGCTAATACTTAGACTACCACAATCAAAACCGAAGCTGTTAGGGAATGTAAAAATAGAAAACAAATAGCTCTAAGAATATTCTGGCATAAATCGATTTTATTTAACCAGTAATGAAAACCTTCAGATGTGTCTGTCAGACACCATAGCGCTGCTTACAGTGAGTTAGGGTCAAAGAAGATGCTTGCTTGCACTTAGGTTTTGGCTTGCTATAGCTCTAGTTCTGGATGTCCTTTGTTAAAATTGGAAAATAAGATGAAAACCTTTATCTGGGAAAAATGTCAAACTGTTGATTTCGTGAACTATGAATGTTCACTTTTTAAAAATAATTTAAAGATATAAACAAATGACTTTTAAGTTGATGTTATAGTAGCAAAACAAAAACCATGTGTTCCATCCTGTATTTTGATTGTTGCTTTAATAAAGGATTTGCGCAGGTGTATGGATTATGTGTCATGTCCCACCTGAAGGGCATTTGATTGTGGCCTGATTTACTCTTTCAAGTGGTAGGACATCTGTCACCAATTCTTTTCCCAACCTTTTGCATCCATGACATATCTGGAGAGAAAAAAAGGAAAAATGAAATAATTTATATGTAAAACTGCAAAATTTATCCAAATTCAGAGACTTCAACTCCATCTTAACAAACTTTGTAGCAGTGCCTTTTTATCTTTATCAAGAAATCATTTTTAACATGTAACGTCAAGCATTCTGTAGAGAATTCAGAAAGGCCAGGAAACTCATATACTCACCATTCCACAGAAGGTATGAGTAATAGATCTGCCTAGACACCACCTAGACAACAACCAAATCCAGGTCAAATCCAAGAACATGCTAAGTAGGTTCCTTTTGACAATCCCTAAGCTTCAAAAGTGGAGTCCCTCTCAGATAAGATGAGATATAACATATAAAGAAAACAAGAAAGGGCACTACCAAATGGGAAAGCAAGACAAAAAGGGCAGAAAGTAATTTACAGCAGACTGAAGAGGCAAACAAAATAACTGAGTTATTCAATAAACTATGCATATAACTAACCATCCCGAGGTTCTCCTAAGCAAAAAACAAAAACAGTCTAAGAGAATTATGCTGGCATTAAGGGAAGA